AAAAAAATAGCCAAAAGCCATAGTATAGAAGTCAGGCAAAGAAGATCCAACTTATGTTTAATGTAGGTCCCTGGAACTGAAAACCAAAGAGCATAGATAAAATAACAACTGATAGAAACTACCAGTCACGAAAACTTTTCTGAGAATAAAAAGACTTGAATGTGCACAGTGGAAGGGCCTGTTGTACGACTGGGAAAACCAGTACACAATAGCCAATAATTGTTACAGAACATGGTAAAAACTAAAGATTTGAGGGGCACGTGGGTGGCGCAGTCAGTTAAGCTCCTGACTTTGGCTCAGGTCTTCGTGTCATGGCTCATGAGTTAAAGCCCTACGTCAGGCTCTGTGCGGACAGCTCAGAGCCTGGAGCCCGCTTCAGATTCTGTGTCTCCCCCTCTCTCTGCTGTTACCCTGTGCTCGCTCTCTCTCTCTCTCTCTCTCAAAAATAAATAAACATTAATAAAAAATAAAGATTTGAAAAAATTGGGAGGACAACCAATCCAAAAAGACCAAGTCATTTATGAAAGAATAAAATCAGACTGGGATCAGACTTTTATTTCTTTTTTTAATGTTTATTTATTTTGAGAGAAAGAAAAAGAGCGTTGAGCGGGGGGCAGTGGCAGAAAGAGAGAGAGAGAGAGAGAGAGAGAGAGAGAATCCCAAGCAGGCTTCTCACTCTCAGTGCAGAGCACGATGCAGGGCTTGATCTCACGAACTGTAAAATCATGACCTGAGCCAAAATCAAAAGTCAGAAGGATGCTTAACTGACTGAGCCACCCAGGTGCCCCTGGGATCAGACTTTCAGATAACATTTTATACAAACACCTCTAAGTAACACCTCTAAGATATACAATTTTTAATAAAAATTATGCCTCACAGATTTTCTATCTGGCAAACTGAGGTTCAGGCAGTAAGTAAAGAATATGTAGGAATTTAAGAAATATACCAGCTCTTGAAGAATCTAATTAAGAACAATGTTCAGACAACCCAGAGACGTTTGGAGAAGCTTTGACTGAAAGTCTGGTGGGCACGTTGAATGCATTTGTAGAAACCAGACTAGCAAATGAGAATGAAATTGACAGACACTGTGTACATTTTCTATGCTCTGACAAGAAACAGTACAATGAAAACATGAGGTAAGAAGACCTGGAAAGTAGAAAAAGCTCATTGCTTGCCTCGTTAACTAAGAGTGAAAGTAAATCACTGTATGTTGGCAGTGAAAGAGAGGAGGGAGGGGAGGAAAGGGTTACTCACTAATTTCAGTATTGCCCATAGCAGGGAGTCAACAGGGTCTAGAAAGAAAGGACCAGGGTACTAGATAAAGATATTATTATAAAGGTGGGTATTAGAACATAAAGGCACACTTTCTAGGAAAAAAAAAAAAAAAAACTTGAGGGGGAAAGGATACAGTGAGTTTAAACAACTCTTTTGAGAATTTTGTATAAAAGCTAAGAATAAGAGGTCACTTTTCAGTTGGAGCATAACACACATACTCTAAAAAGCGCAGATCGTAAGTGATAGCTCAGTGAACACAACGTGTGAGCACCACCCAGTTGAGGCACATAGGAGGGTCTGTGGGGCCAGCTCTGGCTACATCCAGTTGCCTAGAGGAAGGTCCTGGAGGTGGAGGGGTGAGATTCGGAGCCAGAATGGAGGGGGCCAGACCTGGCCTGCCTGTGAGGCCACACATGCAGGAAGGCTGGCTGGTAGGCGTGGCTGTAATGGATTTCAGATTGCTCCTCGGTCAGTTAAACAGGAGGCCAGAGGTTTGAGATTTGATTCAGAGGAAGTGAGGCGGGCAGGTGGCTCCCGAGATTTGCACTGGAATGTGTGAGGTGGTCAGCTGCAGGAAGGGGAGGGACTAGCCTAGGAAAACACAGGACTCCCAGGCATCACGGCCTGTGAGCTCACTGTGGCTCTGGTGACTGTCACACAGGACGGTCATTGCCAAGACCACAACCTTGAGTCCGTCTCTTTTTCTGGCACTGAGAGTTTGATCCTCTGAGGTGCTCTGTGGCCTACAAGTCCATTCGCAGTCCTGGTCCCTTTGGGGAACCTCAGGCAGGAAGCAGAATCTCTATATTAGGGTTCTGTTGGTCTGGACTGGGGTTGTACCCTGTGGTTTGAGCGATTTGTCATGAAAGTTTATTTCTGAATTTCTTTTTATTTTTTTAAGTTTATTTATTTTGAGACAGAGCACAAGTGGGGGAGGGGTGGAGAGAGAGGAAGAGAGAGAATCCCAAGCAGGCTCTGTGCTGCGATGTGGAGCTCAAACCCACGAAGCTGTGAGATCATGACCTGAGCTGAAACCACGAGTCAGACACTTAACCAGCTGAGCCACCCAGGTGCCCCTATTTCTGAATTTCTGAAATCAGCCAGGGGCAGAAGGATGCACTGTGAATGGGAACCTAGCAGAGTTCTCTTCTTT